CACACACACACACACACACACACACACATAGCAGAGCTGACAGCTACTGAGACAGTGCTTTTAGAGACTGACAGACGGGAAGCAAATTCCAGTCAAGTCACAGCGGAGAGGGATTAGTGCTACTAAAGACCTTTAATGAAACACTAGGGCACACATACACACACACACACACACACACACACACATACTATTTTCCCAAATTAAACGTCCATTCAGTAATGACAACTGCAGTATCAGATTCAACTGTCACTTACACACAATCACAATCTCAAACAGCCTGAATGTTCTGTGTGTTGCAGTCCTCGTGCACAGCAATGAACCCTCTCTCTCCCCAGTGAATGAAATTAGTAACACCCCATCATTTTCATCACTTTCCTCACGCCGCAGCCTGTGTGTCACCGTTTACCTGCTGGTCCTGCAGCTTGACGCCCACCACTCTGAACGTGTTGTTGGCAGTGTTGTGGTAGATGTTGATGCGGCTGAATCCCTGCTGTCCAGGCTTGATGGGCACCCACTTCTTACTGGTGTCATCGTAGACCATGACGGAGGCCCGCGCCTGGCAGATACTCTGCTCACTGTGAATGAAAGAGGCACCAAGAAGAGAGAGAGTTAATTATAGGCAGATTTAAGGGAAACCCACCCCTGGTTATTCTTACAGTGTCAGACACCATCAATTTATAATAGAAACTTTCCCCCAAGAGAAATAAAGCAAACCAGTCAACAGCTTTTTCTGATTAACATTAATGATCATTTTCCTTTAACAGTAATTTGTCAGAGGATGTAATGAGACAATTACAGTGAACAGGGCAACAACTCAGGCGTCTAATCCTGAGTTACACTAATAGTGTAATCCAAATGTAATCAAGTGCTCGTCTAGCATCTGTTGGTGTTAATGAGAGGCGATCATAATGTGTGTGTGTGTCCTCCAGTGTTGGGTCTGGGTCTGCCTGCTTGTCCATCTGACTGCATAATCATAGGTCACTGAGGCTGCAACTCTCTCACTCTCCCCCACTGTAACACACACACACACACACACACACACACAGTAGTTTTGTGCACTTCACCATGTGTTTTACAGACAGAAGGGACTATGCATACTCTCTGCAGAGTTAAGGGGCAAATTGAAAATCAAGGTGCAAGTATATGAGCGATGAGGAGGACAAACACAGGGGAGGAAGACAGATAGAAATTTGACTTGTAAATGAGATTAACAAGACGAGTCCCATCTGTGTCTTTGCCTCTTTGCCAAGCTAAAAATTAGTGGATCAAACCCTGGGGCCAAGGAAAAGAGCTGCGTCAGGGAGGGAGAGGAAAAAGACAGAGAGGGGGGAACTCTGGGCTTTTAGATGCAGCACAGGGTGCAGGGGAGAAGGCAGAGCATCATACGTGATGATAAAGATGATAGTTGAGGGATTCTGCAGAGGCAATAGTTAGAGATTTATGGAAATGTGCTTGTTTGCCTTCTGGCGGAGAGAAAACAGGCACAACTCTTACATCTGTAGACTACATCAGAGCTGGAGGTTTGCTTAGCTTAGCATAAATGGTGAAAGCAGGGGGATTCATCTAACCTCGACAATAGAGATAAAACAGTGTGGTTGACATTTCACTGTGGGAAAAACAAGCCTATTCTATTACAGGACTAACTACAGTCCTAAAGAATAAGGAAAGCGTGTCTGACTTGTAAACACATAGTAACCAATAGCAACACATTTAACCTTTCTGACGATAAGTATTCATGTAGAGGAACACCAGGCTGACATTAGGATAAAAGAAAGAATAATAGATTCACTGTGAAAGCAGCAGGAAGCAGCTGGAACTTGTAAAACCAGGATTCAAAATAACACAACAAAGAAAAAGAAAAGCTCCACATATCACCCTGCTGCATGCATATTAAGCCAAGAGGTATAAATAACTTTCTCTCAGACCCGTTATCTTACATTAGTGGTTCTGATGTGCACACACTTGAAATCAACTCGAGAAGCGGAAGGGCAACTATGTGTTTAATTTATTTTCTATAACTTGTCGACGCTGTTAATTTTTAAAAAGCAGTTCTTGGCAACCAGCTGAAAATGGCACCAAGGGCTCAGAAGCATGAATAAATGAGGTTCTTGTGCTAAAAGAGATGTGAGCAGGAGAAAAAAAGGAGGAGATAGGGAGAAGGAGATGGAGGAGAGAGAGAAAGAGAGAGAGAGATAGCGGGAAAGGGAAAGAGAAAGAGAGAGAGAGGAGCTGAGGCAACGAGAAAATGAAAAGGCAACAAGAAAAACAAAAAGTTTCTCTAACTGACAGTTGTAGGATGCACATACACACAACAGTAGTGTAGATTGCTCCATGCCACACCCGTTAAAAAATTAACAATCGCTCTGCAGCGCATGAATAAATCAGCTGCTTCTGAATTTACCTTGACAGCGTACATTCATGCAGACACATATGCAAGAGCAGGATGCAGACACACACTTTGAATCCATCATCCTCGGTCTGTTCACGACCAGCTGCTGCTACGGTAAATTCGAGCTGACAGAAATCTCAGGAAGCGGCTCAGCAATACTCTCCTCCGGGTCACCTCTGCAGAAACGGCCCGATCACAGAGCAGGATGATTGATGCAGGGCAATCATGTACAAGAGTAAAAACGGTGCTCGCTCACCATAAAGTCCTGCCTTTCCTGTTCTGACTGGACTCTCAAACTGTTATTTTAAAGTCCAGGATCAAATATAATCTAATCTCTTTGAACAATACAACATAACCTTGACAGTTATAACACAGGATGTCTCATTACATCCTCTTGACAGTTGTTAGTCACAGGATACTGAACACAACACAAACAGGGAAAGCAGCAGCATGCTGAAGAAATGCATGGTGGGATTGTGCCAACAATGGCTGCAGCTCCTCTCACAGACTCTGATATTTAGCTTTGCAACTGCGATGAGCGGAAACAGATTCAGAACTCTGCGACTTCTCAACTCAAACAACACATCCACCATTTAAATGTGTTACAATCAAACTAATAATAAAAAGACATAGTTTGATGATGCTGTAAAGCAGTGTGGGATCATGGGAATGTAAATTATTCAAAAAGTGGCCAATGCAAACAGTGGAAGGAAAAATCAACCAAGTGGCTAACAGTGTGTTTTTCCTTTGTCATGTGTCATCTGTCCTGGAAGTTCTAACAGAAACAGGCAAAGGCACGAGTAATGCACATATAAAACATCCCATTACCCTGAATAAAAATCACTTTAATGAAGAATTGTTGCATATTTAATCTTTACAGAAAGTACCAAAATTGAAGATGAGAACTCCAGGGTCACGTACAGATGGATTTTGAGCTTAAAATGCTTAAAATAACATTATAAAATTTAAAGAAATGTGTTTTACGTTTGCATTTCAGCATAAGACATGTTAAGTTAATAGGTTACTGTGTCCAGGGTCAGACTAATGAGGCTTGGTAATGATAAACATATGAATTATTCATCCACTCTGCGGGATGTTTGCATGGTTAAAAACATATTTTGTTAAAATGCGTTTTTTAAAATCTCATTGCTCGTCTCAAAATGCACAAGACCAAGAACCACACACTGTTAGCACAACAAACTCATTAAGTTGGTCTTTGGGTCATTTCCGGGTTAATAAGAATCTGCATGATTTTCCTCTCTCTCACACAAAATAAGACACATTTCTTTCCCCACATTTCAAAGTCTGCATCACACGGGTCAGATGGAAGCACATCAAAAAGCATCTCACATTTCCTTCATCTCTCATGAGCCTACTCACACCTGGACCAGTCACATCTATTCACTTCTAACTAGCAGTTCTCGTCTCTATTTCTGGTGCCAAACGTCCTCCTTGCACTAAATTTACTCTTCTCGCATCGTTTCTCTGATCCGAGATGAACGGCACAACCGCGAGTTGTCATAGGAGAGGGATGCGCTTTTCGACTCACAAGGGGAACACATTTAGAAAAAAGAAGAAGGAGAGAGGAAAGTGAAATATACACATGACAAAGCCCTGAAGCATGAAGCTTAATTAGCACTTTGATCCTCTCTGCTGCCAAACTGCCAAAAACAGACAGAGGTGGAGTTTAAATTTAGTACAATAAGTGCTTGGTAATGGAGATTGCAGCTGAAAATTCTCACACATTTCCACTTTATTGCTCTTGTGTCAATTGGTTTTCTGTCTGGGACACATGAAGTACTCATCTATTAAGAACATAATTGCAAACATGAGTGGATCATTGACTTTGGCAACAGTTCCTATGAATCAGCTCCAGCCACAAGGCAAGTCAGGAACTAAAACCTTAATATCAGTCGCTCTGAGTCACTTATGAGTCTCCGCTGAGTGAACATTACAGAGAAAATGTTTGTCATGTATGTTTGTGCTGTTTCCTCTGTGTGACTGCCTGTCAGTGTGCGTACAGCGTTTTCATGTGTCAGTCCTGGTCCGTCTCTTACACTAATCTGTGCTGTCAGATGGCCTTGTATATGTCTCGGCCTGCATCCGCGCAGAAGGCAGGCTGCAGCTCCACCACCCTGCAGACATCACAACATCAAAGCTATTGTGCTGCTCCACTTTCTGGGGCCCTGCAGCTCAAGGCGGCGGTGCACTAACAACAAAGAATAAGACTCTGCCCGAAATAGACACACACATGCATTGCTGCATGCAAATTTGGGTAAATTCACAGTATAGATTCATCCAGTTTGTGTGAATGAAAAATGCATCTGTCACCTAAACATATGCCCCAGGGTCAAAATTAATGAGCTTAAAAGTTGGCCATTGGACAAAATGGTATTCAACAAGGCAACATAGCTGATTACATGATCACACATTGTTGCTGTGTGTAGCATGTGAATTCGCCTTTAGCTGCAAGCCTTAAAGTCACATACTTGTTTCTACAAAAATGTTGTATCCGCATAAGGCAACACATATCTCTGGGTTATCATGGTGGTCAAACAGAAACAAAAACAGGAGATTTACTGTCCTCACAAATAGAAATATGTCTTGGGCTTGAAAGTGCTAAAGTAAGTAAGTCTAATTGTGGAATTCTGGACCTCCAAAGGGAAATATTTTGTTGCCTTTGGATTTCTACAGCAAATCCGAAAAGAAAGCTTATGAAAGTAATTTGAATAATGGGAAATCCCCAACAATTGTTTTGATTGGAACTCAAGTTAGCATTATCCAATGTTTGGGGATCAATCTAGCAGAAAACTTGGAAGCTCAGAATCAAAGCTGTCTCCAGCTGCAAAAAGCAACACCAATGTTAACTCTTGCTTCTATCAGTTCTTTTTCTTCTACCCTAGTTATCTTGCTACCCCGCTAGCCCTGAACAGGTTGGCCCAACTTGTCGCTTTCCCATTGCAGGCCACTGTAGTGCCCAGTCTGCCTTGAAGGAGTAATGCTGCCCAGAAGACACATTATAACCTCTTGCATTGTGAATGATACATTGACTGAAGCTCTTGATAAGTGACCATAACCACAACCCACACCTGGCATTAAGAAAAGTTACATATAGCACATTTAAATACTCCTTAACTTGTTATAGAGAAAGATGAGAGTTCTGATCAAACAACATGATTCATAGCT